CTAAATGCAAAATGAGAGGATTTAATCAGCACCTATACAGATTTGTTAAGAATATGGGTCGCTAGTTCCATCTCTTCATTTAAACAAAAATGGAATCTTATGTGAGTAGCCTATGAATTCAGAGCCAACCTAAAGTTGACTTTTTGGAGGGCAGCTGTGGCTCTCCCTAGAAGTTCTTACCAACACATCAGGCTACCATGGCCAGTGGAGACCTACAAGTCCATGGACTGAGAACTGATGTCACACAAGGATGCAGGCCAAAAGCAATCATTGGAGTTCTTAATTTGATAAGAGATATGTTAATCACATATAAAGACAGTGATACAGCATCCTTAGCTTTGATTCTGCAGAATAGAATTAAATTTTTACCTTCACCTTTATGAATCTTTCTCATTCTTAAAGACTCAGCTCAAGTTCTGCCTCCCCAAATAAATCTTCTTAATTATACTCAATCAGTGTTCTCTTCATCTCTGAAGTCTCTAACATATAGTACTTACCTGGGTTGGCAATTATCTTGTCACAGACATATTGTCACCTCCCCAACTGGGTATTACGTTTCTTTATATCCTCTAAAATGCCTAGCACAGTGATAAAGACATACTAAAAACTCAAAAATACTTACTGATTAGATAATCAATTGGTTGAAGGTTTTATCCAAATTCATTTTATACTCCCTCCAATCTTTTTTCTTTTAAGGGGGAGGATCCAGATTTTTTTTTACTTTACCATTTTGGCTCTCCAATTTATTCATTAGTTGTACAAGATTTTACCTTGGTTTGCACACGTAGACCAGATATGATATTCAAAACATTTAAAATCATTATGTAGGGGTAACAGAATGGAGCAGGTTACCAGAGGCCACCTATTGTGTCAGGCATTAAGCCTTTAGTTGATGAGTTACAGGCAAGGTTCTGGTATGTAAGAGGATGGCCAGAATGGACAGAATGCCTGGAAGGTAACTAGCAGTGCAAGGTCTTTCTACCAACAAAAATGGATGTATTTCAATAGTTTTCAATAGTTTAGCAACTAGTATGGCAAGAACAGTGCAAACTCATAATTACTAATGTTGGCCTGTCCCTAAAATCTTCAAAAGTAGCAATTGCAAGCAGGGGGGAAAAAGCAGCCACAGGCATGGTCTGTAGAGAATTCAGTTCCCACTCTTATATGTGGAGGTTTTAAAAAACAAATAGAAATATTCCTCATCCTTTTTCCCAGCTTTATGTAGTCATAATTTATATGTACTTTAGAATTAATTGAAACTATCAGGACTTTGTTTCTAAACTACAGCTTGGAGTAATTTATTTTAGGACTACCCAATGGCACTTAGTTTTAAATATTAATATTTGTCATTTTCTGTGCATTCGCTGACCCTGCAAACAATATTATGAAAAATTGTTATCTATAGGCATTCCATTTTGTTTCAAGAAAAATACTTAGGAAAATTCAAAAAAGATACCATGCAATAAGATAAAATATATTTGGTATATGTGGAATGAACCAGATAAAAGTTTAGAAAAGATAGAATTAGGAGTGATGTTTGTATTCAAAGTACTTGCTATAAAGTCTGATACATTTGCAAAAAGTGAGCTATGAATTTGGGCTCTAATCTTTCTAGCAGATAAAATGCAGAGGGAAACATCAGTTATAAAATACACAGAGTCCATTGAGATAAAAACAAACCAATTGCTCAAAGAAACACACTGATTCATTCTCCTGAGACTGCTATCAATAATGAAGGTGTTTTCTTAAAATGGAATTCTTTTACACAACTATTTTCTTTAATCAAAAGCTTTATGTAAAAAGCAAATAAAAATAACCTTACTTTTGCAGGTTCCCCACATAAAATGAACTTAGTTTATTCAAGCCCCTCTTCTTCCAACAAAATTCCACAAATGATCAAAACCCCTATGAGTAAATAAGCCAATCTTACAATTCTGAATATTTATCTGAGTAGTCTGATCCTACTAGAAGTGTTTGTTCCCTCTGACCTGTCAAAACCTGAATGAAATAGACAGATTTATATAACATATTTTTGGCCCTTGTATCTCCTCAAAGAAAACAGTAGTCAAGTGTCAAGGACAAGTTCAGCCCTTGTAAATATGCCACAGCATTGCCAACCTCAAGCCTAGAATTCCATTTTGAGCAATTACTAGTAGGCCTGTTTAATTTGAAATTCAATTTATGTGGCTCTTAATTCTAAGCAACTCCACTGTGAGAGGCTCTTCTAGTATACATTTGGGATATGTCCCTTTGTGTTTCTGAAGAAGAGATGTGTTTTAGAACTTTTTGTTATAGATTGATGTAATTGGCTTCAGTGATTCAGAAGCAGCATTCATTTCTGAGGCATTTATGGAAAATACATATTAATAAGCCAAGAGTCTCTCTCTCTCCCTCTCTCTCTCTCTCTCTCTCTCTGTCCCTCCATTTCCTAAGAGGCTTCTTGGAGGAAACTGGAAGGTGCGATTTTTTTGTCATTCCATCATGCTGTCTTTTCTCATCCAATACGCTAAATCAGATAACCACAAGGAGCAAAATAGGGGCAGAGTTGGAAAAGACCTGGGCTTACGCATCACGGTGATCACAGCCTCCCTGAAAGCATAGTGCCCAGGAATCAAAAGTCTGGGGGCTGGCACTGCAGTGCCCAGGAGGCATGCAATTAATGTGATGCAGTCATGAGTAAGAGAACAAAATGCGTGTCATTTTGATAATTTTGCTATTGACCCACCAAATCATCAAACCCTCAGAGGCTCAGTCGATTTTTATGGTTAACTTTCAGAATACATGATAAGGTTGAAGCAGGTACATTTTCAACTTTTTCTAAAATTCAGAACATATAATTAGTATTACCTTGCTTGCTTTAATTGTTCTGAAACTGTAGAGGACTTGAGGAACTATACAAAATTATTTGGTTTAATGAACTCAGTTTTCAACTTATCTAAGTCACTAATCTTATTTCCCTTAATAAGGGCATGAACAAAACTCCCCTGGCTCATTAATCCTGAAATCAGAAGTCAACTCCAAAGGGAAAAGTACTTAATATACTTAAAATGTTGAACATTTTTACAGCCCTTTCTCATACAAAGTCTTATTTAAACCTATCTTATGAGAAAGTTTTTTTTAGCTTTGAGAGTTTTTCCCCTAGCATGGGTGCCCTCAATGGGCATATAATAGAGCCTTAATAAGTACTCATTGGCAGAAAAGGAAGGAAGGAAGGAAGGAAGGAAGGAAGGAAGGAAGGAAGGAAGGAAGGGAGGGGAGGAGGGAAGGAAGGGAAGAAGGAAAGGAAGGAAGGAAGGAAGGAAGGAAGGAAGGAAGGAAGGAAGGGAGGAAGGAAGGGAGGAAGGAAGGGAGGGAGAGAGGGAGAGAAAGGTTCATTTTACATATGAGAAAATTCAGAGTAGTTAGAGATTTGTCAAGGCATATTGGGCTGGTGGGAATAATCTCAAGTCTTTAAATCCACCATTCTTTATTGCTCAAAATGGCTTTTGCTCTGCCTAGAGAATAAAATAAAATTTTTCATTTTTTAGAATATCACAATATCATTATTTGTGATCTCCAAATTGTTGTTCGCTGATAAAACTTGATTTCGTTTGTTCACCAGTCTCTTATTCTGCTAATTTTTATTATTATTCTACTCATTGTAATGAAAGATTAACTCTAGCTGCAAACATATCCCAAAATTAAACCAATATTGTCAAGTGTTACTAGCAACTTTAAGGCATGACTTCGGTATTTAACTTTTTATGCTAATTCTTAATTTGTTTCCAAGGCTTTGAACAGAAACTTCTCATTTGCAACTCAAACCATAGGGGCATGGTTTCTTATTTTTTTATTGTTGCTAATTTCTCCATGTCACTCATTTTAGCTCCTAAGCAAATAACTGAATTTTTCATTCAAACTTCTCAGAACTATCATAGTAAAAATAAGAATACATAAAGGTGCAAGATGTATATGTGGAAGATAATGTGGCTCACGCATACAGTGAATAATAAATGTGTGCTCAGACTATTTGTTTCAGACTGTTAGTGATTGCACAATGCCACCAGTGTAGATTGAATTGTATCCCCTCAAAATTTATATGTCCAAGCCCTAAACCTCAGTGTGATGACATTTGGAGGTGGGACCTTTGAGAGGCAGTTAGGGTTGGATAAGTTCATGAGTATAGAGCCCTCCTGATGGAATTAGGGGCTTTATAAGAAGAGGAGAGAAAGATACCACTTGCTCTCCACCACGTAAGGACACAGCAAGAAGGCTGCCACTTGCAAGGCCCGAATAGAACTCTCACCAGGTTCAAACCAGCCTGAGCCTTGATCTTGGACTTCCCAGGCTCCAGAGTCAAGAATCCAGGGATTTCAATCCCAGTTATATCTTAGTGAGTGACCACAACCTCATTGAAATTTCTTTTTCTCATCTGTAAAATAGGGCTGGTAATAGAATCATGAGAAAATAAATTTTTGTTGTTTATGCCTCCTAGTCAATGGTATTTTATCGCAGCAGCCCAAGGAGATAATACATGTGCCAACAATTTTAATTTAAAATCTAAATTGTACTTAGTCCAATTTTAGACATGTTTAGAACTATGTTTTAGGCTTTTTACCATTTAACAAATGCTTCCTGGCCATTTCCATGATCAATCCTTGCCAATATCACAAGTATCATTTCAAGAGTCTCACCTCCTTTTCATAAAGAAACTTGATGCAGGCAGGGCTATTAAAATATCATGATAGTTTGTCAGATTCCCACTGAGCCACCAGACTTCTACTTGAGGGTCAAAGCTGGTTTCTTGAGGCCCACACAAATTCATCCTTTATGAGTCATAGATTTCTGGAAAGGGCATTCAATGCTAAGGATTCAGCGGTACAAATTAAATATCCCCTACCTCCCTGACCTTGGATATTTTTCTATCAAAGTTCCTGCAACATAGTGTTATAATTTTACATATCAAAGTCTCTCTCCTGGGCTCTGGACCATGTCTCATTTGTTATTGTTTTTCTTCTTAGCACTGGGCATGGAGGCTGGCATCAAATGGACCTTCACAATTGTTTGGTGAGTAAATAAAGAATTAAATGAAAAGACTGAACTAACATATGAATGCAACATGATAAAGTAATTAAGAGTGTGGGCTTTGGAGTCAGGCAATTTGGATTCGAATCCCAGTTATGTCATGTCCTAGTGAGTGATCTCAGCATCATTGAAATGTCTTTTCCTCATCTGTAAAACAGAGCTGGTAACAGTACCTCACTGAAGTGAACAAACAACAAGATAGTGCATATAAAAGACTTAGCATAGTACAGGCATCAAAGACGTTACTCTGATGAGTTGCCCCACCTCTATAACTATGTATGTTGTCTCAGCATATTTCTTATCTCTCTTTACCCTAGTTCCTAGTAGAAAAAAGGGGGATCATGTGGTTTACCTTAGAGAGGTAAGAAAATTCAATCAGAGAATACAGTGAGTTGAAAATAAAACACAAATGCTAGGCATGATTGTTATTATTCCACTGTGCATAAAAGTAATCTCTTGGGAAAGCAGTAGTAAAAAAGTAGAATGAGCCTGAAACTCAGATTTGAGAAGCGGTTTTAATCTTGGTTCTACGCACCTAATCCTGGACAAGGCACTTGAATTTCCTGGGCCTCCATCATCTTTTCTAGAAAGTAAGATGGTAGTCTAGATCATTTTTCAAATAGATTCTATGTCTAAAATTGTATAAGCCTAAGTCACTGTCATTTATACTTCTGAATTTTTATCTCTTGCCTGATAATACGGCTATGGAACTTCACTATATCTTCTGGAGGGAAATGAGTAGTCAACAGATAGTTTAGAGGTGGGCAAGCTGAAATGCTATGTGACCATTCTGCAGTCCAGCAAAGGTCAGTGGTGGAAGACACAGATTCAGAAAAAGAGATGCCTACTCCTAGTTCAGGAAGATGCTTTCCCACTGAGTTTCAACTGATTCTATGTTTAAAATTCTTCTAGTTAAACAAGTTATGGTACCTGTAAAGGAATATAGTAGATTCATTAAAATGATGTGGTAGAAAAGTTTTAATAAGATAAAAAGATATCTATGAAAAATTGTTTAAAAAATTGACGTATTATATATTCGCTGTGTGCACATATACATACACATGCACAACTCACTCTAGATGTTAGTTATATTGGCAGTTTCTGAGGATAAAAGGACATGAAGACTCATTCAGGTGGGAGATATACTAAGGAATTGAAAATACATTAAAAGATCTGAGGATCAGGCAAAAGGATTGACTTAAGTGTCTCTCTACAGGTGCACAGTTCCCCGATACTTCAGATTTTGTGCGTTGTTTGGAAGCTATATATATATGTATGTATATATATATATGTATATATATGTGTATGTATATACATATATATATATATATATATATATATATATATATATATATATATATATATATATATATATATATATATATATATATGGAAACTATTGCTTGCTCAACAATTTTTTGAGAAAATGTATACTAAAGCCTCTAGCCCAGTGACTGTCCACACTAAGTGTTGAAGAAAAGTTAGTTCCATTCTCTCTGTGAGGCTCTACTCAGCAAGAGGGGGAAAAAGCATGTTTTTCCCCATAATTTAATCCCTTTTCTCAAAATGTCCTCTCAAATAAACCCACTTCCCTCCTGATTTTAGAGGTTGGGAAACAGCAGTTTATTACTTCATGCCTATCCAACTCTGTTTTGGTTTAATTCTGTACATTTACTGTCTGGATATATTTAGGGAGAAAGAAAGTATGAGATGCAAGAACAAAGCACTATTTTTAGCTGTGTCTATGATAGAATTACATGATATATTGATTTTATAACTCAGTTTTTCATCAATATCTCTTGAAGTCAGTAAGAATTTTTCTTATTGCTAAACTTTCTTTATTTCTGGCACTTCCCCTCTGACCATACACACACTTATTCCTCAGTCCTTCCATACTTAGTTTTTCCTTTTTTTTTTTTAACTGATCTCTTATTAACAAAAAATGAAGGAGATGTTTCAGGGATCGAGTATATTTTAAAGGTAAACAAACTGAAATGGACTGAATGCATTAACAATATATCTTGTACATAAAAATATGAGAAGCCTTTTGTTAATTCCATTGTCTTAGTTACTTTATTTGTCTGGGATGTTATGTTCCTATTTCTTTCCCAGGAAATTACTACTTCTTTGGCCAAGGTACAGCCAATCAGCTCTTTCAAACTCATGACCACACCATCCATTTCATTTTCCAACCTTAGCTTGTGCGGGTATTATAATAATAGGATGTCTGTAACAGCTACAGCAGATGGAACTGCAATTTATGTGTTCCCTAAAATATTAACATTTGGACTTCTCTAGATCAGGCAAATAGAGAGGAATGTGGGGAGGAAGAACAAGATTTGGGAGATTTGTTTACTACTATGAAAACCTGCCAGTAGCCTATATAATACTTACAGGTCTAAGATATTATGCTAAGCCTTATTCTCAGTTTAAAAAATACAAATTAAGATAATTATAAAACAGTAGTTCTGAAGCTTTAGAGTGGTTAAGAATTGCCTTGAAAGTTTGTTCAACATGGGGATTTCCAGATTCCATCTCAAGAGACACTTTGAGAAGATCTGCAAGAGAGCTCGATTTCTGAACATTTTAACAAACGTCACAAGTGATTCTGATACAGGAGCTTCATACCCCATGCTTTGAGAAAAATTGCTTGATAGTCCAAAACCATGCCTGATAAGTTAGCAAAATAAGTGAAATTATAAAATCCAAAATTGATGGGACTGTGAATAGGGACATTACTAATTTCATTATGAATTTGATATAAATTTTAGAACAATACACAGCAGAAACTGTGAAAACAACCCAGAGCCTGTTGCCTGGTATTTCTTTGGGGAGCGGGAGGAGCATCATAACCCCAGAAAGTATCCTAGAATATTTACTTTAAAGTTATTTAAAAGACAATGAAGTACTATTTATAATATAAAATATTAAACAATAAAAATTATTAACAATAAGCAATTTATCTATTAATAAATGTTTAGTTAGTACTACTATGAAAGATAAAGTGCTACACCCTTTATGAATATTACCATTTAATTCTCATTGTAAGAATACCTTATTATGGCTGAGCAAATAAGATTTACCAACATGAACATACACTATGTAGATATTTTGGTCTCATGTTTGAGTCATAATGATTCACAGAGATATATAAACTAACATAAAGTGAAAAGGGAAAAACACAATAACCTAATTACAACTTTTAATAGAGATGTAGGGATTGTCAAAGATTATCAAAGGGATTAGTGATATAAAAGAATAGCAGTGTGTATTAGATGTTTAATCAAATTATTTACTTTACAATTTTTTATTTATTCTATTTTTTTTAATTTATTTATTTTGAGAAAGAGACAGCACAAGCAGGGGAGGGGCAGAGAGAGAGAGAGAGAGAGAGAGAGAGAATCCCAAGCAGGCTCCACTCTGTTTGCACAGAGCTGGATATGGGGCTCAATCCCATGAACTGTGAGATCATGACCTGAGCCAAAACCAAGAGTTGGAT